AGTGGGAAGAAGTAAAAAAAAAGTTTAAATTTGTTTAAGGGCAAGGTTACTGTTGGAGGGAGAAACATCCTTCTTATATGACATCTCATCTCATCTCATCTCATCTCATCTCATCTCATCTCATCTCATCTCATCTCATCTCATCTCATCTCATCTCATCTCTAATTACGATCTACTGACATTAACTATTAACTTACTTCGCTTCTCGCTTCTTGGGCTTGCTTTCAGCTCTGTTAACTTTCTTTAACTCTCACACTCTAGCTCTCACTCTTTAGAAAACCTTTCCATATATCTCTCTCTAGTTCAATTACAATTCTAATCTTAACTTGATTCGCACCTCAACTTGAACTTCCCCAATTGCTTCTCGCTGGAAAGACTCACATAGACTCGAGCTTACTCTTAATTTCAAATGAAATTTTCATCTTTAGACTAGCTCAAGCTGAGGCCAACAGCTCTCAGAGCAGCTCTCTCCAGTTAACTTCTCCAAATGCTTCTCGCTGCCAAATATGATTCTAGCTCTTCACTATACGATCTCCCTCCCTCGCCTCCCTCTCTCCACCTCTCTTACCATCAATTGCCCATCTATTTCCATAGATTTTTGACTCACCATTTGTGTTGGCATCGTTTCGTTCAGCTGCAGCTTGAGCACATAGAAGCCCGGCAGAAAGGGCGGCGGCGGGTTGTAGACGCTGCTGTAGGCCTCAGCATAGGCCTCGGCGAAGGGCAGTCCATTGTTGCGATTCCCGTTCGATGTGTTGTTGTTGGTGTCCTTGCTGCTGCTGCCTTTGGTGTTGTTGGAGCTGGCGCYGGAGCTGGAGCTGGCGCTGTCGTAAATGGCTTCGCAAAGGGCCAATGAACCCATCCAATAGTTGTTGCCATAGAAGAAACCGGAAGTGTAATGACCGGAAGCATCGTCCACTGCAAGAGTAAAAAAAGCAGAAGCCAATGTTGAAAGTGAAGGGCATTATTCAATGCAAACCCGATTGGCCCGCCCGTCAAGCCCTTCTACTCAGCGAGTTGCATACCTCTATACCCTGTACACCCAGAGAGTGACGCAATGGGGTATGATATCTCTTAGTAAAAGAAGCTAAAATGGATCTATGATGAATTGCTGCCTTTCAATCAAATTTACATAACCTCAATCTGCTGTATATCCAAAACCTGATGTAATGAGCGAATTCTATTTCCAGATTCGAGCTCATATCTAACAACCTTGACAATAGTCACATTTTATTATTGATCAGCAAGCCTCGTTGAGTTCTCTTATCGCTTGGCAATCGCGCATTGTGAAGTAGCTCTCATATTGTGAGTATATAGACTTTCGAGGAACGTAAATACGCTTTGGGGCCTCAAAGGAGAGATGTCTATTTATAGAGATATTGATGAAAGGGAATTTAAGCACACTCTGGTGTTAATATCTCTATATAAATAGCGTAGTGCAGCAGTGTTAGGTAAATATTTATATATACTACGATTATAGAACCTAAGGTAGAGCAACGTTTTCAGTTGCTCTCACACATTGGATCTGTATGGACAGCGGGGTCTGCTAAATTGCTGGATTGAGTGTGTTGAGTTTGGGGTATGACTGACCAGACCAACTATGGGGCTTACAGGGCAGATGACGATTATATAGATCGTGTAGGAGGCAGAGATCAGTCAAGATGAAAGAAGAAATTTAGAGCCGTAAATGTTGCCTTAAATGAATACCCTTTGTTTGCTTAACATATTACACAACTACACGTGGTATCTACTAGTCTTTCACTCCTCTCAGCTTATTTTGAAATGATTTTTCTTACGTTTCTTTTATTTTATTTTTGCTGTTGTTGTTGTTGTTGTTGTTGTGGCTTTTGTTTCTTGTTGTCTGTTGGCACATAAAAAAGTTGTTGTTGCTGCTGCTTATTATATAATGTTGCCTGTTGGCTCTTCTCTTTGTCTTCCCAGTCCGGCCCGACACCGCCCCGCCCCGCCCCGCTGCATCCCACCCAAGCCCCTCGCTGCGTGCAACATGTTGCGCGCTGTTGTCTCATTTGAGCGCATGCGAATTTTTTGTTTTCTTTATTTCTTTATTTCTTTTTGGCCATGCGATCTTCTCTCATTTCGCTTGTCATATGTTGGTTGTTGCTGTTCGTTGTTGTTGTTGGTTGTTGCTGTGAGTTGGCTTGTAACCAGTTGCTAGTTGGATGGACCAAGCAACCAGTTTCTGCCATCGCCAGTTCCCGAAAGGCAACAACAATGCGATATCAACTGCAGCTGCGCAATAATTTGTTGTTAGTTGTTGTTGTTTTTGGTTGTTAGTTGTTGTTGCAGACATTTTGGCATTTCGGCTGACAACTTCCTTCTGTACGCAAAATTTGTTTACTTAGCTTTAATTTTTAATTTAATTGTATTTATTTTTTTTTTTTTTTGGCACTTGCCTTGACCAAAACGCAGATTTATGTGTGTGCAAAAGCAGGGTGGGCAGTTATGTGGGCGGAGGGGGGCTGGCCTAGCTTGAGGGGGGCGGCACGGCGGCTGGTGAAGGGGAAATTCGGACATAACCAGCGGCTTGTAGACCACGTCGCTTGGCCATGACCATGAACAGGTTTTGAGCATGACTGCTTTTCCGGGCAGCAGATATCAGAGAAAGACGAAGAGAGCGAAAGAGAGAGCGAGAGTGGGAGAGCGGAAGAGCGGAAGAGCGGGGCAGGCGAGTTGCTAAAGAGGCGATGATGAGCATTTTAACGCATTGTTAATTGTTTGGCTAAAGATTATTAATTAATTAAAAGCAATTCTTGACCAACTCAGGGTTGACACACTTTCGCAATACCCTGTAATAGTTGCGCAAATGCTGATGGGGCAACGGCATTTCGAGATTTGCTATTACAGAAATGTGTAAAAATATTTTACAATGCATAGAGATCGATAGATATCAATGCATAAGCTGACAAATTTTCGCAGCGAATATATCGATATATATCGAAATGTCAATTACTAATTTTTAAGGATTATTTTGAGATGAGAAAAGAATTGTTTGTTGGCAGACTGTACTGTTAAAGCCGATAGCATTGTTATTACCACTTATCGGAAGCTGATAGCACTGATTTTCAGAAATCGATAAATATTGGAATGCCAATGATTAAGCTTAGAATCTAAATCTGAATTGCTATAGAACTTTAACTCTAGTGTTGGTGATCTATATCGATAAATATCGATAGCAGTCCCTGAAACGACACATGATTCTTAGCTATGCCCGAGTCTAGGGCACAGAGCATCTAATCGTCGGTTTCACTGGTCGGAAACACTTTTACTTTTTTCCCACACGCTGGCCGCCCTTTGGAGTAGCTCTTTCACTCCGAGCCGGCCCCTTTGTCAACATTCGTCTTTCCACCTCGCCCTCTGTCACATTTTTGTAATGTTTAAACATGTCTTTGTTGGTGTTGTTGTTGTCAGTCGGTCTGTCTCTTGTTTGCGTGTGTTTTTTTTTTCTTTTTTTTTCGGTTTCAATTTAATTTGCGATTGAGGTCATTTGATTTCTGTTGGCTTTGGGATTTTGTTGTCTTGGCTTTTATGTAATTGTTAGGCCAACTCTGCTTTGGTTTTTTTTTTTTTTCTTTTTCATTTTGGTAAGAGCTGAGGTCTTCGTAGATCTGTGGGACCTCTAACTAGTCAGATTTCATATTGTATTTGTCACTTCTCTCTGCATTTTTTCTGCTTCTCCTTCGTCTTCTTCTGTTTTGATGTCTCATGTTCAATTGAACGTGTCATTCAAGCGTTTAACGTGTCTTCCACAACAAAGCAGTCCAAGAAAAATAATCAAGCGTCGACAGATCCAAAGTAGACGCGAGACACAGACTCCATCAAGGTAAGCGCCGCGATGTACATGACAAAATGCCCGATTGGTGCAAAGAGCAGCCGGAAAAAGCCCAACCAGGTAGCGCTTGGACCAATGCTGCCTCACCCCTTCGCCCCCTCTCCCACCGCACTCGCTCTCTCGCTGCGTATTTCTATCGAGTACCGTTTAAGCCCAGCTCGATTTGATCATGTACTCGTCGTCGCTCTAGCTGCTGTACCCATATCAATTCTCGAATTGCCGCAAGGTCTTCGCTGTGCAGACGAGACCCATAAAGTCGTCTAAATAACACGGTCAATGGCCATAGACCAAAGCGGCGGGCGTGGGGCTATGGGAGTCTACAATCATCTGATCAGCCATAAACAGAGTCTAACCTAATTGAAAGTTGTTGACAGATCTATTAAATACTGCAGTTTCGACCTTCAAGCAGTTTGGAAGCATTCAGCTGTTTGCCATTTGCTCATTTGCTCATTCACTCAGGCAGTCAATCAATCAGTCAAGCAGTCTATCAATCACAGTCTGTATATAGATTAGACTTAAATAAACGAGCATGCCGTTACTCAGCTGCTAAAGAGCTATAATACTACACAAACTATAGCAATGAATACGCCTTTGATTGATCTAATCGTTTGCATTAGCTCGTTGTGCTTAGACATCATCAAGAGCCATCGACTTGGCGGTTGTGGCGCCCCTCACACACCTCATATGCAAATCGAAATATTTAGAATTTAATAAGCTTGCAGAGATAAAACATTCTCGTCTCTGTTTAACGATATAACATTGTCAAATTTGTGTTTGGTTAATATTTACGAATATGTGCGATATCTGAGCAGCAATAGCATTCGATAGGTGGACGATGAAATACGCTGGCTTGGGTATGAGAGTGATAATGATAATGACGATGACGATAATGAGAATACGATTGAGAATGATAATTACAATGACAATGCTAATCAGAATGGGTATGTGAACAAAAATGAGAATGTTAAAAGGAATGCCAATGACAATGATCATGACAATGATAATGGTAAAAACAATGTCTATGAAAATGACAGTGACAATGATAATCAGAATGAGTATGTCAATAAAAATGAGAATGAGAATGCTAAGAGAATTGCCAATGATAATGACAATAGCAATGATTAAGACAATGACAATGACAACTGCAATAACAATGATAATGACATTGATAATTAGAATGAGTAAGTGAATAAATGAGAATGCTAAGAGAATTGCTAATGATAATGACAATGATAAAGAAAATGTCTATGACAATGACAATGATAATGATAATCAGAATGAGTATGTGAATAAAACTGAGAATGAGAATGCTAAAAGGATTGCTAATGATAATGACAATAACAATGATTAAGACAATGACAAAGACAATTGCAATAACAATGATAATGACAATGATAATCAGAGTGAGTATGTGAATAAAAATGATAATGAGAATGCTAAGAGGAATGCTAATGATATGACAATGACAATGATAATGATAAAGACTAAATGATAATGAGCAGCGGCCAAAGGCATTGTATCGCACTTTAAGTCAAATTCGTCTAATTAATGTTACGTACTTAGCGAGTGAGGCGGTATACCCAATGCTGTGCGCGAGTGGAAAGAATGCTTTAAAGACTTGTATTTATTATGTTGTTAAACAATTTTCATCTAGCCGAGAATCAATATTGTCTATAGGAAGCCATAGCAAATTTCAGCAACTAGCTTGAGCCGATGTTTGGCAATCACTTATGGGTATTTCTCTCCCTCCATGTATGGATATTTAGATATGTGTTTCTTATATTTTGTTCATTGTCACCTGAGTGTCAATGAAATCGCCAATTGAAAACAATCAGCGAATTGTCAAGAGCCTCTTGGCTCAACTCGAGCTGCGCTTGGAGGTTATGGCAGGGAAATATCTATATGTATATAAATATATATAAAGCGTATATACTATATTTATATATGTGTATTGGGGCGGCTGCGCAACATAGGTGTTAACACTAACACCGATTACAGCACAAAAGAAAGAGGGGGGCGGTGACAGGCGGTGTCTGGGCGTGGCACACGCAACACCCATTAAATGACA